CGCCATTCCAGGCCATCACCAATGAACAATTGTACTTGCAAATAACAATCAATTCTATTATTTTCAATAATCTACTTGAATAATCCGTTCAAATAACCAATTTCCGTTCTCAAATGACAAATAATGTCTTTATATGTCGCCAAATATTTATTGAATTTTGAAAAATTTAATGAAACAATATCGAATTTCATTTTGTCGTCAATGAACAATTATACTATAAGAAACAGGAAATTTATTATTAATATCACATGTGTCATCACACGGTGAGTCACAGAAGCATTCGCACCACTGTAATTACCGAGTTTGAAGTTGATCGATATTGCTTTACAATATTCGAATTTTTTTCGAAAAATTAAGCTAATCATCGAATAGTTAATCTACCAATCTTTTCGTTAGAAATTTGGAAACTTGAAAGCACTGTGAAAAGATAAGGATTGTTGTCGACGTTGTTGGTAATTCACGGACGAGGATTACACGGTTATTTGTGTGTGACTCATTGCACTATATTCGACGTTGTAAAAAAAGTTGTAACAAGCAAATCGAAATCTCTCATTAGCGACTATTACGAATAATCGCAGTAATCGCAGTAATCGCAGTAATCGCAGTAATCGTTGAACTTATCACCTTTCTCGTTCTTAGTGACGACGACGCGCAAATGATTTAAAAAGAAAGAAACCAGCAAGAGGAGTTTCTCAATTCTCAGAACGAAATTAATTGTTCTAGAAATCGCCTGGAAATTAATTCCAATTAAGCGTCGAGTATGTTATTTCTAATATTCTAATTTCCAAGGAATTACACGAAATGAAAAAGTTTCTCATCTGAGAATCAACAGCAGTTTGCACGCAGCAAGGTGCTGATACTTTCGCCTGGATGCATCATCATACTCTTCTCTGACGCATCGTGCAAATGTGAAAATGAATTTTCCCTCGCACAAGAGTTTGCAAAAATATTTTGCCATTTTCCTATTCGAAATTTTACATTTTTTACGTTCGTATGTATTTGTCGCGATTCGTGTCGTTCATGCCTGTCTCTAGTACTTGAAGTATTTTCTGCGATCTAAAATATGCGACGAAGATAGGCGAAGATCGAAAACTCGAGGGGTCAGCAGCAGCAGCAGGCCGAGGATATCGACCGACTTTCGAATAAGAATGAACGGACACACAGTTCGTGATACAGTTGGCGACCACTTTTCGTGACCTCCGCGGGCTAGCTGCGTTCGTTCTCTACTGTTCTCTACTGTTCTCTACTGTTCTGTAGCACGCAGAAAGCTTAGAAAGTCTCCAACACAATGAGTGCTTTTCGCGCGAAAGAAATTCATCGATCGCGTGTGCCCGCACACGCTTCACACGCCGCGTGTGATAAAAATGAAAGTTGGCCTGCATCGACGCTACACGCTCCATTTCGTCCATTTTCTCATTCGAATTGGCGGGCTGGCCAACTTTCGAGCAACTTTCGGTCGCGAAGTTTCGGCTTTGCTGGTCATATAATACTTATATTATACACAGGCCGGTCCCACACCCACGAGTCGGAAAGAAAAGAATAAAATTCACTCGATAGCCAATAATAATCGAACGATTGAAATGACAAATCGTTCGCTTCGTCAAATAAACTAACGTGAGATTATCGAGATATTTCAAGATAAATAACATCGAGTCAAATTAGATAATGTACGCGTTATTCAACGCGTTATGCGCTTTCGTCGTTAGGATTGCGGATTTTAAGATGCAAATTATAATTACTGTGTAAAATTTAATAATCTTTACACATGCCTATAAAGAAATACAAATTTGCATAAATATATACCACTTGCAGTGGTAGTTGGCAGACATTTTACTCAACCAATGCCCAAGCCTACTCTGCTGTTCTCTATCCATCGATACGTGATCGGATACGTGTCCAATTTGTGTCTGTCGATTAATTGCAAAAAATTCCAGTTGAAAACGAGAAAATTGTCTTACATCCGATTACAGCCTCGCGGGCGACAGAATTTGCTTGAACGAGAAATCTTGCATCGTGTTCTTGCACGGTCGAGCGCG